AACTGAAGTGAGAGGCAGGGGATGGGTGCCAGTGCCCGTGGGGTTAAATTCCAACGTCAAAGTGACCTTTATGAATTGCAGAAGTTATCAGAAAAAGAAAGAGAGAGAAGAAACTATGGGGGGGGGGAGTGAGGGAGAAAAGTTCAAAATAGCAAGTTTAAATAAAACATCTGGGGAAGGGAAAAATTTGGTTTTTCCCCAAATCTAAGGTAAGCGATGACCCTTGCAAACACTCCTTTTTAAAACTGTCTTGGAGTTCCACAGCAGCACAAAATAAGAAAATAACTAAAAGTAATGGTTCAGTTGAACACATATTTATTGACAGCCTACCAGATGCCAAGGCCCCATGCTAGGTACAGGGTGGGCATGGGTGGGAGCATTAGAGTAAACACATAAATGAAAAGACCCAACTTTTTCCCTCAAGAAGCACATATCAACCCCAGCTCCCTTCTAGTTGCTAGGTGGGATGCTGCCTAATTCGTGAATCACTTAATAAAGTCAATTCGATCTTAAAAAAAAAAAAGCACATATTAACCATAAGCACTTGAGGACGTTCTAAGTGTTTTGTGTACATGAGCTCATTTGTACAAGAGATGGAAGTGGTATGCGTGGCGAGGGGACGAGGCACTGGACTGAGGACCAGAAGAGAGAGGTTCTCCTCTCAACTCTGTAAATTGGCTCCGTGACTCTGGAAAGGACCAAAAACAGTACCCCTCCCACAAAATCACAGGACTGATTAGTAACAGACTCTAGAGGGGAGTTCTGGTCTTCTAGCTCCTGGTCCAGTGATCTTTACAAAATATTACACACGTGGCAGACGACCAATACAGAGAGAAAAGCCCTTTTGATGTCATGTTATTTGCAGAGAAAGGGAAGAAGAGAGAAAGAGAATCTGGAAAGGGTGGGAGAAAAATGCAATGTTCAAGTTGTGACATCAGATAGAGATGTCAAGAAAGGAAGCACTTAAATAAGAAGTATAAACACGGGGCCGGCCGAGTGGCGCGATGGTTAAGAACTCGCTTGGGATGCCAGAGGGCCCCGGTTCGGATCCCACATATGAGGGCCAGTGACACTGCCCTCCACAGCTAAGATGCTGAACAACAGCTCGACCTGGAGCTGGGCTGCTGTGAGTCGCCGGCAACGGCGTGGGCTGCAGTCCCTGTGGCAGTGGATTGCCATGGGCTACCGTGTGTGGCCAGCAGCCAGCGTGAGCGGCCAGCAGCCAGCGTGAGCGGCCAGCAGCCGCAGTGAGCGGCCGTCCAGAAGCCGGCGACTGATCTGCCTCGCCAGAGAAGAGCGCAATGATGGTGCCAACTTGGGCCAGTGAAGCAACGTCCTCCACAACTAGATTGAAGAACAAAACGACAGCAACTTGTCTGTTCCCCTTTCCCCAATTCCCCAGCACTGTTCCCATCCCCCCCAATTCCCCAATAAAAATCTTTAAAAAAAAAAAAAAAAGAAGTATAAACACAACATCCAAATAATGCAAAATCTCTTATATGCTCATCCAGAATTTTCACTCTAAAATCATTAAGGACAGAGAATATATACATACATATATATATATATATATATATATATATATGAAAAAGAGATAACAGAGAAGAAAAGGGGTAGAGGATTTATAATAATATTATTCAAATACATTAAGTCCTTTTAAAGAGACAATGGGGACCTGTTGTGCCCAGATAAACATGAAGAAATGGCATTATACTCTATAGCTTTTATGTTAAACAGAGGGCTCAACCCTGGAATGGCTGACTAAGTAAGGTTAGGCTCATTCTGGAAATCATTAAAATTAAGAAGGAAAGGCCCCATACTCACACCTGAAGGCAGAGTAATGAACTGTCAGTGGGTTCCAACCAAGTCACTGTATCAGGGTCACCTGTAAACCTTGAAAAATACAGATGCTCAAACCTACAGCATCAGACTCCCTGGGTGTTGAGTCCAAGAGTCACCCCAGCTGGCTGTGAGGCGCCCAGGACATGATACTCTGTTCTGTCACAGTGGACAAGGCAAGGAGGAGGACCACTAGGAATGGCAGCAGAGAGTGGGAACGAGATAAATGCAAATTTTGTGGGCAAAACAGAATTTCTGTGGGTATGATATTTTTAAAATGTATTGTAAGGCTGCTCTGAAGCACCCAAGCATATCCCACTGAATTTAAACATTTTCTAAAGGTCCCGAAGTCAGCCATGACAATTCAGGTGAGCCAGAAGTTACTCCTCCATGCCACAAAAATCCTACAGAAGAGGCACTAGAGTGGGAATGGTGCTAACAGATGCCAAGGAGATGTGAGTAAATATTTTTAAAAACCAGAACATCAGGAAACAGAAAAGAGCGAATAGAAATAATCACTCTTTCCTACCTCCCCCCTCCAAAAAAAAGGGAATAATAATATAGAAAGAACAAGTGAGATAAAGAAAAATAGTTTTCAAGATGAATTTCATCTCCATCTAAAAAAAAAATAAAACAATTACTCTTTATGTTTTTGTTTTTTTTAAAAGCAAGAGAAGAATGCGGCTGACAAATTATCTAGCAGGCAGTAAAACCAGGGAGTCACTTCGCATTGCAAAGCAAAAGAAAACAAGGAGAAAGGGGTGGTCTTGGATTGCTGTTTAGACAACCAGACAGATGGGGTGACAGCTCTTTGCCTTAGAAACTCAGTGGTGTTTAAATTAACGATTGGCCACAAGCCAAACACAGGAACACTCAGAAGTTTGGAAGGGTGTGTTACAATTGGTACCTTGGCAAAACACAAATGATAGTAGAAGATTAAGAAGATTCAAGAAGGCTTCACTGCCAGGCTCTGAAAAAAGATTTAAGATGTGTACCAAAAAAACAGGTTTTCTCATCTCTTCTAAAGCAGTTTTAGCACCTGAAGGACACCTACCTAAAAACCAAAATATTTAAATCTAAATATTTGAACTAATTGACTAACACTCAATTTGTCCACCTAAAAACTAGCTAGTAATAGCAATACCTCATCAGAAGTATAAAAAAGGGTATCTTTCTATATACAAAAGTCCAAGAATGAGAGAAGCCCTGTGTGTCAGAGTAATTCTATTTCTGACATCAGTCTTACCATTTAAACCTTAAATTTGCAAATCTCTGCAATCATATCTATTATTCCCTCCAACTCTTTCAAGTAGGTTACTTCTTTATTTCTGTTCCACAGGTGAGGAGCCTACACGCCAGGAAGATTAAGTTATTTACTACAACAAGTTCATGGTAGACCAAGGGCTGTAACCCTCAGACTCACCCATTGTTTATATATACTCCTCTCTATCCTAAATCTAGACTTATATACTAGAGCTTTCCACTCAAAGAAAAAGGAAAGGCAAAAACACCATTTCTGTGCTTTGTGAAATGCTCTGAGACAACAGTTGTGGTGCATCATCCCACAGCCTGGCCCGCTTCTGAAATTCTTCGGAACCTAGAGGCGTATGGAATTTGAACTTCCCAAGAAGGACCTGGTTGATGCTGAACAGCCCAGCCCGGTGATACATAACCTTGTTCTCTTTCAAACATGGGTGATGGGCAGGTCCACCACGGCCTGTTGACAATGAACAAAGAGCAAATTTTTCTGAAGCTCATCATCTTCTTAACCTTTTCTTTGTAAAGAGACACAGCTCATGTAGTACTAGTTTTTTGGTCAAGGTAAAAATACTCCTTCAGATTAGGCTAGGAAAAGGAGGGGCCCCCTTTCTGCTCAACAAACAGACACAAGCTACCATCGTATTGGAAGCAGAGAGTTCAGAAAAGAAATAAAACACAGCCCTGCTGTTTCCAAAATACCTTTTGACTGCCATGGGTGTAATACACCATTGTCTTAATTAGTCCTATTAGCTGGGCAATTTCATCCCCATTTTATTGGGGCATTCATACAGCAGAGCTGAATTTGAACTCAGGATTACAGAGCTCCAAAGCCCAAGATTTTCCCACTAAACAGCCTGAAGAAACTTGGAATCTGAGATTGTGGGTGGGATGGGTAAGAAATGACTGGATTCCCTTTCCTTGGTCCAGCCGTGTTCAGAAAGATTATTGCACATATCCAAACAGCAAGAGGCTTGCTTGCTAAGGCAGAACTTGGAATTACCGTCTCCACTTCTCCTCGCCCGCCCAGGCCCCACCCCCAACCTGCCAAAAGAGCAGCAAACCCTGCTGCCAGGTTGGAGGAGTTGGTGATCGTCACACCACATTCCTGGGGCTGGACACAGACTGAAACAGCGCCTGAGCTCCGCGCCTCGGAAAGAATAACAGCAGTTGAGATTTTTAAATCTTGTGGCCCAGCATTGCAACCACACCAGGTTCTCCTGCTGTTCCTGCCTCCACCTTTCAAAGACTCCCGAGTGCAACGCATCGGATTCATGGGGACTGTGGATTCGGAGTGTCAGGCTCAGGCGCACCGCAGCACCCTGGCCCCATCCAAACCAACCCCACCCACCCGGATTGTGTGCCTCCCCTTTGGCACAGCTACTTCTGGCTGGGAAGGTGCAAGCCGTTGGGCTGGGAGGCCCTGCCCCCTGATCCCCACACGCCAGGACCTGGCATTCCTTCGCTCAGCTCCTCTGCGGTCCGCGGCCAGCGGAGGGTTTGTCGCACGCAGCCCGCCCTCGGTTCCCCCTTCAACCCCAGGAAACGCGGAACCAAAAGGGCAAGTCTGCCCAAACTCCTAGAACTCCAGTGCCCGAGAAAGGGAGTTTCTGAGCCTCGCTGCCCGGCCTTCCTCCGGCCAAGGAGGCGTGCGTGGGGCCACGGGCCGAGGGGAGCAGGCGGCGGCGGGGAGCGCGGGGCAAGGGGCGCGCTCCGGGGGCCCCCACGATGTCCAAACTTTCAGGAACCGAGTGGCCTCCATCCGCGCCCACGGCCGAGCCCGGCCTTCTCAAGCACAGAGTGGGACCAAAGTGTGTGTGGGGGGGACGGTCGCCCCAGGTGGTCGGGCGGGGGTGGCGGCGCGCGGACCGGGGTGTCCCCGCACCCCTGGGCCCGATACTCACCACGCGCAGGGGCCGCGCGGCACAGCCAGAGCGCCAGCAGCGCCCACAGCCGAACGGGGTGCAGGGCGGGCATCTTCTCGGTCGCCTCCTCCTCCGCCGCCGCCTGGGCAGATCCACATGGAGAGGGGGTCCCACCAGAGGAGCCCCCACTTTCTCCTCTCCTCCGCCTGCTCCTGCGGCTCACGGCCTCGCGCGGCGCCCTGAAGCTCAGGCGTAACGCCTCCGACTCCCTGCACCCCCAGTCAGCCGTCCCCCGGCCGCCGCCTCGGCCGCCGCCCGAAGTTTGGCTGTAACTTTCTCGAGTGTGCAGTCTCGTGTGTCCTTCCGCCTCGGCCGCCTCCTCCCACCGCAAACCCCGCCCCCTGTCGCCCAGGCCGGGCCCCGCCGCCTTCGGCACCCAGGGGTTTCCCGCAGGAAGAAGCGCCGGCCCGGGCCGCGCGCGGAGGGATCTACTACGAGCCCTCAGCCTCGCCAGCCTTCCCCGACCCGCGTCGAGTCCTGACGCGCCTTAACGCCTTCGGCGCTGGAGCGCCTTGCCCGGCCGGGCCTCTGCTTGAAGGGGGTGGGTGTTAAGACGCTGAACTTCAGACGCTAAGAGTACTGAGATCGTGAACTTGCAGGGAGAGCCAGCCCTCCTCCAGTGAGCAAGGAATAGCCCCCCCTCCCCTTTCTCTCTCTCTCTCTCTCTCTCTCTCTCTCTCTCTCTCTC